CTTAATAAATTATTCCTTTGATTCAATAACAATAAAATTTTATGCACAGTAAAATTTTTTGTTCAAATTCTGCCTAAAATGTTTGTGCACAGATCAACAGTAAGGAAATATTATAAGATATATATATTACTGTGTTAGTATAAATCTACTAGCATTCTATCACAAATGCCATTCTCTGATTGGCCTTGCTACTTACTATCTATTGTGTGATAGGTAACGAGTAGCATAGCAGTGTGCCCTTGTTAACAAAATGATGGCCGCTCCTTGGTGTATTCAAAGTGTCTGTGAAGAGGTTTTACATTAAGTTTTGAAAGACTAGTAGATTTATACTAAAGCGAATAATCTAATTAATATATTATTCACTCTTGATTTCTAAGCGGGATCATATAAAAATCTTGAGCTCGTAATCTAATTGTTTAATATAAAATAAAAATTTAACTGAAAACACAACCAAAATTCACACATTTGCACTCAGTTGCTAAACGAGTTTATTCAATTTTTATCCTTTGAAATGGGTATTTTCTGATTTTCACACAAAAAGTAGCATGTGAATAGACACTTAGCATGTAGTTTTAATAATAATAACTGCCCTTGTTGTCTTTATCACTCAGCCAAGCACAAGTAACTTATTGTTACCAGAAGAGTATTCCCATGTGTATTCAAGCATAACTGACAGTTTTGTAGTTACTACTCATTACTACTCTATAGATGTAAAATGTGAATGGATCGTCGCCAGTCTTAGAGGTAAATCATACCACGCTTAAATTAATATTATAGTAAAGCTACAAATTATTATACACAGTAAACCACAGTAAAATACATACAAATTATGCATGTCTAATAATTAACTTCCAGTGTGTGACTTCTGGACTATTGACAAACTCACAATCTGAGGCAAGGTTATGAGCCAATATAGCAAGTGCACAATGTGTTTCACAGCTACTGGCTGTTACCATACTAAAACTCTTGAAAATATGGGATCCCAAACTTCACAATTGTTACAAAAAAATGTAAGCCAGGGGGCCACGCTTGCCCCATAGCATACATTTCTTTTTAAAAATTGGCAAGTTTGGGATCCCATATGTTCAAGAGTTTGCAACAGATTCTAATGTAACTTTGCACATTTACTAAATTCGGTATGGTAAATTGATCTCTGGCGGTTGTTTTTTGTGTATAAGAAAAATGCCAAAAAAATTTACTATTGCGTGACATCAGTAAAAGGGTCCATTCAGTATTTACCATACCCAAATTTGACCAAAAATCTGGTCAAACCAGGTCAGTGACTTGATATCAGAGGACATCATGAAAGCCGACAAGGCTTCCAACTGTCTGGTTACCCATCACCTAAACATTGATACCAGAATCAGAGATGTTTAGCATTGCGCAGTGGTTCAACCCTAAACAAAATGAATTTGTGCTTGGAATTCACAATTTCTTAATATTAAATTCAGCTAGTTTAAGTGTAGCAAATTTGAAAGTAGAGGCATACTCGTAGATGTACATGTAGATGTTATAAAAAAAATGTAGAAAATATGTAGAAAACATATGCCATATCATTGTATTTTTCTTGTTCTTTTTGTACTTGTAACAGAAAAAAATAAAAACGGTTTCTCTACAAAGTTGCTTGAGTTCACTCTTAATTAGCAATTATAATCCTTTATTGTTTTTGCTACTAACTAAACGGTAGAATCTGGATGCACTCCCCTTAAATCAAGCTGAACTCATAAACACAATAAGGGTAGACTTGCCACAAGTCAACCTTTTCTTAATCCATGACTTACTTATCTCCCTCGAGCGGAGCGAGAAAGTAACCTTTGCGTGACGAAGTCAGAAACTAACAGTGGAAATATTATTGGAAAGGACTTTTAGAAAGTCTAAATATGGGTAAAGAAGAGCAAATCACAATGCTAAAATTGGCTTGAAAGCCAAAAAATCATCAGGAAGTACCCTGTGAAGATATCATGATAAGTTCTGATGATAACACTTTTCACAAACTGCGATATCATGACAAGCCAATACTCCAATCAGTGTACTACATGGATTGAACAGCTGTAGCTCTCAACTCTGGGCAATGTTAAAAATAATTGAACATACCGTAACATCCCATGTTAAAGCCCTGGGCTTATAACTCCATAAGGAGTTTTTGGTAGGCTTATAAACGGAGGTGGGGCAGCTTATATCCAGGGGGCGCATAAGTAGAGAAAAAAAATGTTTTGGAACCATGAGATAAAACGTATCTGAGAAATGAATTAAAGCAAACATACCATTACATTTAGAGCTATGACCCTATTACTACCCTATTAGCCTATAACTTTCAATAAAAAATTTTGATGTTTGTAAAGAAATGCAAACAGAATGCACTTGTACATTAGATGGGCTCATATCCGGGGAGGCTTATATCCAGAATAATATCTTTGTTAGCAAATAGAAGGGCTTATATTTGAGGGCCTTGTAACTGGGGGGGGGNGAAGTGGGGGGACTTTAATGTGCGATCTTATGATATGCCTTTCTCCAAAGATTTACAAATGGGTACAATTTGTCAATCTGAACAATCATTCTAACCAGACCCATTATCATAATGAACATTTGAGTGATTCTCGAGCATCTTCCTAAAGTAAAGATTCAGAACAATCAATTTTTTTTCCCAGTTTTTATTGCAGTTTTTTATTTACTTATTGCAAAACAATAAGTAAACATTTACACAAACAGTAGGTTAATATGAAGAACGTGTGTATATCTAAAATAAAATTATTAATATAAAATTGTACTCGAAACATAAAATTCAACACAAAAAGTAAATTTAATATCTACATGTTCTCTAGCTGTACACAATATTTCTTCAACTTTCATCATCATCTTTTAACGGATCCAGTATCAAGAAGTCTGCGTGTCCTTTGTTAAAGCCTCTTGTTGTGTCAATAAAGTTCTGAAATGCAGCTACTGTGTTCTTTAACTTGTCTTCTACTTTCCCTTTCATTTCTTTTATCCTTTCCGTTTCCTCTTCAGCAGCCACCTTCTGCTGAATCTGCTCATCAATACGGCTTTCTAACTCTTTCACTTCTTTCTCATGGGCGTCCTTTTGTTGCAGCAGTTTTATCTCCTCTTCCTTTTTACATTTTTCCTCCATTTCCACAATTGCCTGTTTTTCTTCTTGTTTTAATCTTTCTTTAAGATTCTTCAAAGCTTGCTAAATTGAAAATAATGAGAGCTTTATGTACACTTTTCACACAAAGGAGATTTGGGAGTGACTTGAACTTGTGGTTCATTCTCACTGATGTTCATCTTGCTTCTCTTTTGTGGGTCTATAATAATAATATTTTACTGGCATGGCTAATGGTAAATTTAAGACTGCAAAATGACTACTCTACTGAGCATCTCTTCTGCAAGCCCCAAGAATTTGTCAGCCTTGGAAAAGACATGAGAATGAGACAAAAGAGATAAAGCAACGTTCCCCATAAAATTAGATGAGGCAGACAAACAGACTACATAATTATCTAATAATAATTACCTTTTAAAGGAGCATTGGCCACTCCCTTAAGTATAATTTTCCAGAACAAAATTCCTACAGACCTGCACAAGTCTCACAGGAATGCTGAAGACTAAACATACCAGGGAAAGCATTCCTCTATATATTTGGGAGATAAAGAAGGAATTATGTTGCCCCTCCTTCACTTAACATAGTTTTAAGGATGGTGCCTACTTTTGTTAGCGCGCACACGTTCTGCGCATCACGCAAGGCATGGTTTAAGCGCCACGCACGCACTTAGTTGACATGACGCAATCAACTACGCTATCTAGGACATGACTAAATTGAAAGCAAAATTTTCCTACTGTGACCAAATCAAGTTTAATGAACCTGTACTTAAACCAGGAACACCAGAACTACAGCATATCGCTAAGCACTAACTGCTAACGTCTTCCAGCTGAAAAACTAGCTGTTATCTGTTGAAAATTATACTGAAATCCAACTATAAACATGTACCTGCAGATGGCGTAGTGCGCGCGCAAAACAAGTGTGAGATACACACATTTTTTACTTACTGGGGAGGTGACAGGAAAAAATGTAACAGGCACCATAAAAAGTTTAAAAAAGGATCAATAACTTTAAAAAACGCGTGGTTACCCCTATATTTTATGTTATGAAATGGAAATAGCAAGCCTATTCAGCAGGTGATTAGTTTCTGGTTGTGAGCAAAAGATATTTAGACTGCATTTTAGCTGAAACAGAGGAAGGCTGTCAGAGACGCTAAAAGTGTCGTTGCAACGATTTTGTTGTTAAAAACATACCAGAAATGTTTTTTATGTTACCATTTACCATGTAGTTTTCAGATCTTTATAAATGTGTTCACTTTTCTGTATGTAAAGGCGAATTCTAAAGAAAGCGGTGAAGAAATATCCTCTCCTATTTTCAGAAAAATGCTGATGTCAGCATTTTTGTTGAGATTCGAGGCTAATTATCTCGAAAAAATGTGTGGCTAACCTCTTTTTTCTTTATGGATTCCGATAGCCCTTGTAAAGATCTACTTTTTCCGCAAAGTCCTAACCTGGCGCAAAAACCTTTGTATTTAGTAGGCACTGTCCTTAAAGCCAAAGCACTGGAAAGTGTAACTCCATACAGCCATTTCTGTCTTCTATTTCCTGTCCTTTTTCTGTTACAATTTATCACTAGATACCTGTTTCTCTTTCTCAGCAGCCAGAATCATTTGCTTTCTCTTCTCCTCTTCAGCTTGAGCCACCTTCTTTGCCTCATCAGCAGCTGTAGCTTGTTCCTCTTCCCTAGCTTTCTGCACAGCCTTCGATTTTTCCAACAAAAATTCTTCCCTAGCCTTCACCAGTGCCTCCTCCAGTCTCTTTTGACCCTCATCTTTCTCCCGCTGAACTTGCTGAGCTGCTAGTTTCTTCATCACTGCTTCTACTCTCTTTGACTCTGCCTTTACTGCCTTTTCCTTAAGTCAATAAGTATAATTAAATGACAGTTCAACAAGGTTCTAGGACTCTAGTATCATATAAAAATAATATATATACTACATGGTTGAATTTTCATTTGGTTTTGACAGTCCCTTTCATGCAAATTAACTTTTGAGTTCTAGTAATTTGTCTGGCTACATGAGAAATCTGGAATCTTTGACACATGATCACTGACAAATGCATGGGACATGGACCAGCTGTAAATGATTGGAAAAACTTGCACCTCTTTTTCATCCAATCAGAAGTAAAACCAAACCCAATCAACACTTGCTTCACATCGGTTTCTTGCAAGCTACATAAATCTGTGTGTTTGTGATTGGCCAGAGTGATTACTTTGGTTTTGGTTTTATAAGGTTCAATTGAAAACCGCTCTAATGCTTTAACTAAAGCCAGTCTTTGGACTATCTGATATAATGTGATTTACATCACAAGTGTGTAGCTTAAAACATGAAAGAGGTGTACATAGTATTGCATGGTATGGGAACTGCGACCCTCGTTCCTATCCCACCCCCACTCCCACCCCCATCCCAGGGCACTGTACTCCACTCTCACTACATGTACTGTGCATATTTGTCAGTTGGCATTGACACCACTGTTAGTAAACTACCTGAGCTTTATCGGCGATATGGCACAGGAAGTGGGTCCCTCCATCCTACCCCATCCCCACCCCGGGGCACAGTACTCCACTTGGATCATGTGTACTAAAGGCATCTGTGGGCGAGTATCGATCAATTCTCTGGATCAATACCCTCAATCAATATCTCGATCAATACTCGATCAACATCCCAATTGATACTTGGGTGACACTCAATTGACACTTGATCAACAGTCCATCGATAGTCGGCCGAGTGTCGACCAACTCATATGAATCGATCAAAAATTAGTTGACTCTCAACCGACTGTCAACCAAGATGTCAATGGAGTGTCGATCAAGTGTCAACCAAGGTGCCGATGAAGTGTTGATCGAGTATGGATCGTGGGTATCGATCCACACTTGACCGTGGATACCTTTAGTACACATGATCACTCCACTCTCACTACTGTGCGATACCAGTTGGCATTGACACGACTGTTAGTCACCTACCTGAGCTTTCTTGGCAGCAGCCATAGCTTTTTCTAGCTCCACTTCAGCAGCTTCACGGGCTTCCTTAAGAGCTCTTGCTTTCTCTTCAGAAGCTAAGCGCCATGCTCTTTGTTCGACCTCTGTTACATTCTGTTGCTTTTCTGTTTCAAGCTCATCAACAGTTCTTTGGTAGAGGTCATTTCCTATTGCTGAGGACAAACATTTAATACACCAAATACATCATCTCAGAGATACTCTGCTTTAGGAGTTAATCAAAGCTTACTTTAACAAGCTTAATAAGAAAGAGAAACTGCTTGCCAAGTAAGCCAAGACTTAAGCTTTATATGTACCTTTCTGCGGTTTCTCCATATTAGTTTGTTGACCCAATGTATTGACTGATTCAAACATATCAACTTACCTAAGATATCCCTGTGAGTTGTATTCTGCGTGGCAGAAACTTTTGTGTCTTCATATGCCTTTGCTAACACCGAACGATCGTGAGTAGCAACGTATGCCGCCATTTTAGTGCGCTAGTCTCAAATGTCCGTTGTCTTGGCAACAGCGGGTATTACCGCAATAAGGATGAGCAGCGGATTTCAACAAAAATTCAAAATGGCGGATGAAACAAGGTTTTTGTTTGGGTTACATGTGTGAAGATTTGATCCTTTAATTCAAAGAAGTATATTGCAATCAGGAAAAATCAATATGGTATCTGTACATGAAAATGCTGTTGCAATACCTGGAGAAAGATTAGGCAGCCTGGAACAGTTCTCACCAGGGAACGGAACTTACGTTCGCCATGGATATGTGTATGCGAGTCTTGCTGGGTACAGACAGGTACAAGAACAACAGAATGGAGAAGTATGTTAAAGGAAATGTTTCAGAAATCAGTATAATTAAATGAATCCTAATTAAGTGAATTATGGAGTTATTAAAATGAGAAGCTCTTGAAGCTTTAAGTTTCACAGTGCACACGACACAGAAAATAAATTACGCTGTGTCTCTATGTCCAGCAGCCGGACAGGATTTTCAAAACACTCTGTGTCCGGCAGTCAAAAATATTTTTTAAAAATTTCATTTAATAATGTAGAATCCTTGTTTATATGGCTGAATACTAATCTTGGTGAGCCCGGCACCCGGTATATCGGGATTTAAAGTCTAGACTATTATAAAATGACCGGCAGTCAAAACGTTTGAATAGCACTCTGGTTAGCCTAAAAAGCACTCCGGTTAGCCTAAAAAGCACTCCGGTTAGCCTGAATAGCACTCCAGTTAGCCTAAATAGCTCTGCGGTTAGCCTGTTTAGGGTTAGCTTTCAATAATGCTAAGGGTAACTCGATAAATACTTTAAAAATTCGAACTTGCTGGCGGGTTCCGGTGGTGCAGTGGTCATCAGTATCACTTACCAGGCCATCGACCCAGGTTCAATTCCTCTTGGGGTCGTCTGTCATAACGTTCATTTTACGTTGTTTTACTTCAAAAAATTTTAAGACACCTGTCTGACTGCCAGACATGTAGCCACAACGAATAAATTAAGCTAATTACCAATTCTTGAAACACACAGTTGAACAATTTGTGATTGATTCAGCAAAGAAATTCAAATGTAAATCATAAGCTATTAATAATCATCAAATGAGTGTGCAATAGTTTAAATTAGGATGGGCACTGAGCGAATTAATGGGCTTGGACATCTCAAGGATGTTTTCTTTAGTCACAAAATCATAAGGCATCAGATTTGAATCCTAATTCTACTATTTCTTATTCAGAAATAATTTTAATTTTTTTTGTTGTGTCCCCAATTAGTTGTGAAAACTAAATACATTGACACATTAATAAAGCTTTTACTTACTTTACTTACTTACTTGGCAAACGTTTTGCTATATTTTTCTTACATAGAAATCTATTATAAATGTCATAAGAGAGGAAGAAAAGCATGTAGTACCAGCAGTTGGCTCAGTTGTGACATGCAAGGTAAGGTTTGGTAAAGTCTTCATACAAACCAATTGGCTCATCAGGGCATAATTTATCTGGGAGTATTTCCACTCCCCCCTGGATGGGATGCTGGTCCACTGCAGGGTTACACCCAGCATTAAGTTCACTAGTACCCATTTATACACCTGGGTGGAGAGAGTCATGTGAGTGTTAAGTGTCTTGCTCAAGAACNGCAAAAACATCCACACCTGATCTGCATTTACATCCACGTAATGCGTACGTTAACATTATCTACAGTAAGAT